AGGCAACTGGTAAATAATTTTTACCAATTTTCTTAATGGCATGCCTGCATTTCCTTTAAATTATAAGAGAACGTGGCAGAATGGACATGTTGAGAAAGTAATAAAGTTTTTGGAGCAGTGATAGTGTATAAAAGTAATTTAGACAGTGATAGTGTATAAAAGTAATTTAAAGTCAGCGTATTAGTTTCTTAGGGCAGCCATGACAGAGTACCAGAAGCTGAGTGGCTTTAAACATGTATGTTCTTACTTTCTGGAAGCTAGATGTTCAAAATCAAGGTGTCAGCAGGGCCATGTTCCCCCTGAAACTGGTAGAAGAATCCTTCCTTTTCTCTTCCTAACTTCTGGTGGTTTACTGGACCTTGGAGTTCCTTAGCTTGCAGCAGTGTAGCTCCAAGTGTGGCCTGTGTCTACATGGCATTCTCTCTTTGTGTCTCTATCACTACATGGCCATCTTCTTATAAGGATTCCAGTCATATTGGATTAGGGCACCACACCACTCCAGTGTGATTTCATCTTAACTAACTGTATCTGTAGTGAGCCTATTTCCAAATAAGATCACATTCGGGAGTACTGAGTATTATAACTTCAGCATACCTTTTTTTTGGAATGCTATAATTTAACCTATAACAGTAAGTAATATCAACCCTTATATATAAATATGCCAAGACAATGCACAATTTCTTGTCAAATGATGCCTTCCCAGCTAAAACCCCATAGCCATGCAAAGTGGTTATGGGGTAAATGACAACTGGAAGAAAAGGAAGCCTCGTCTGCTATTGGTGTCAATTGTCTTGTGTCTGGGCTTTGGTATCTCAGGCCTTGGTAGAATTATTCATATAAACAATAATATGTACTATGTGGTTTTGATCTTTCTGGTAAAACTCCACGAAGTAATTTGTGGATCAGGATGGTTCTAAGGGTGTATTGGGTTTTTTGTTGTGATAATGTTACATAATTGTCTCCAAACCGCAGTGGGTTGTATCCACAAATATGTATTTCACCTTCATGGATTTGCAGGTTGACTGTGGTTTAGCTACTCCTGGCTGGGTTCTGCAGGCTGGCCTTGGCAAAGGCTAAGTCGGATGCCAAAGCTGAGGTACAGGTTCGGGTCTGTTCCACATGTCTTCATCCTGGAATCCAAGCTGAAGAGGGAGAAGCAGCTACCTGGAACATACTCTGCTGGTGGGGAGCAGACACTTGCCAGGTCTCTTAGTGCTTCAAGTCAATATGAATATGACTATTAATCCTCACAGTCTATTGGTCAAAACAAGTCACATGAAAAATCAGATGTGGTCATATACTCTGTATACTAGTGCAAAGCATCACAGAGCTGCCCAGCAAAGGGTATGGATGTATAATTATCTTACAGCAAGGGAAGGAGTGCGTAATTAGGAACAACAATCCAGTCTACCAGAAAGCCATTTTCTTCTGAATTCTACAAGTTTTATGACAAGCAACTCAATAAACCTTTAAAAAAAAGTACGTATACCATAGACTTGATTTCTTAACCCAGTCTGCTAGAAATGTATAGTTGAATATTACACACATAATTTTTTTTTTCAAGAAGAGGTCCTTGTACTTCTCCATGCTGATTTAGTTTCACACTGGGCATATTCCCTGCTGCTTAGACACTTTTGGTTATGTCTCGTTCCTGAACCCACGTTTGTGTATTTACCACAGTCCATATTTTGCTAACCACAACACTACTTGCCTCTCTCCATTGTTACCAAGACATCTGAGGCAGAATCTGGCAGAAATGCTGTTGTCTTGAGTGTGCTCTTATAGATAACATTTTCGTCGGGGATAAAACTGTTTCTGGTTTATAGATTTGATTGTTAATTGTGTGGCACTATTGAAATATAACCCTGAATTGTGGTTTTCGGGGATGTCCTACTTTTAACACTTTCCCTACCAGCACTGGCCCGTGTGACCCAGCCATTTTCTTACTTCCCTTTTAGCACTTCTCTGTGTGTCATACGTTTTATTTGGCGTAACTTTTTCATGCCCCTGTTTTCTGATAATTTTATGTAAATCTTATCTCCCTTGTCAAAAATTGAAGTTTCTGTAGAGCACATTGGGTCCTTTTTATAGTCACAAGCTTCAGATAAATAGTACAGTTGTAGGCATAAAACAGGTTCTAAGTGCTTACTGAGTTGAAGAAAATTGCTCATAAATACATTACAAGGCACTATTTAGGAGTAAGCATAAGTTGTTTATTGCCACTTATACTCTCCATGTAACTATGCTGAAAGCACATTAAAAAAAGAATAATTCAGTTATTTTATTTTGCATTTTTACAGGTATGAATGTATGCCAGTATATTTTGAAAATGCATTCAATTGCAGATCTCATCCACAGAAGGCACAGAAGTACATGGCCTTTTCTTTAGTGAAATGGCAGTTTAACTGGTAGATTGTCTCTTGTTGATAAAGTCTTAGAAGACACTCAAATTTAATTCTTGAAAAGGAGTGTTTGCTACTCATATACTGTATGTTTTTGGAAAAGCATTCCATTTATCTTTTAATGCCTTTCATCTATCCAATTTTGTTGGTTTTATCAGTTAACTCTTAATTCAGATCCACGAAATAGCCCCCACCAAATAATAATAAGTAGTAATAGTAGTAGTGGTAACTACTGCTCACATTTTTTTTTTTCCTCTCTTGAAATTGATTGCATTGGGACCCTGTGTAAGACTAGGATACATGCATTGGTGATGGCATTTGCTGTGAGCACAGGACCCTGGCACAGTGACTCACATTGGCACATATTCTCTGCAAGGATTTGGGGAATGAGATTGAGTTCTGTACCAGTCTAGAGACTCCAGAAGTTTGCAGCTTATTTCCTTTGGACTGGAGCTAGAATATGTCTGCAAAAAAATCAAATGGGCCAGAGACTGTATGGTTTAGGAATGAATCTGTCTGGTAGTATTAAAACGAATTCCAGAAGTAATTGAAAACAAACTTTTCTTCCCATGTCTCCTGTTTATTGATGCTACTTGGAGCCTAATATCTGTAGATTTGTCTTAGAGATGATCTGAAGTGATCTTCCGGTGCCACAGCATAGTAGGGGTGTCTCCAGAAACTCCGCTGTGGGTGAGGCAGGCATCATATTTTTCACACCTCTTGTGACAGGTAATCAAAAACATGTCACAGGTACCCAGTAGTGATTGATGGTGAGAAAGAGGATGTCTCTTATGACTAGGAGATGAGATCAGCAGATAGATTGTTCTGTTTTCATTACCTCCAGTAACTTTCTGTATGATAATGCAGATTTGGCCCTTCTAATCTTTGTGTGCAGGTAGAAAACTTCAAAACTGACTTCTTATACCTTATGAGTGTTAATGAGAGAATGCATTCAATATATTTAAAATATTTAGTAGAAATGTTATAGAACTGTAATTTTTTAATTCTAGAAATGAGCTATAATTTTAGTACTTAGAAAAAAGCAGGCTTTCATAATTTAAGAGCAACAAAGAAATAAATGTATTTTTTTTTAAAAAAATCAAAATTCCAAATTCTGACTATCTGTATTTACCAATTCCATTTTCTGTGAGGAAATAGATTGGTTTCTTCTGTTCTCAAAACTTAAGGGGTAATTAATTTAGTGAATTAAGAGAATGTGCTTTCCAGTTAGCTCTTTAGAAACCTACTCAGTGCAATAAATAGTTGTTGAATGTACTGACATGTTTACTAAAGTGCATTTAGTATGAGTAGTAATGGCTAACCTCAATACAGGTCAGTATTTACATCCTTAAAGACAGTTGGCCATAAAGCTGTATTCACCCTCTTATTCTTTTTTTTTTTTTTTTTTTGAGACGGAGTCTCGCTGTCACCCAGGCTGGAATGTAGTGGCACAAAATCGTTTCATTGCAACCTCTGCTTTCCAGGTTCAAGCAATTCTCCTGCCTCAGCCTCCCGAGTAGCTGGGATTACAGGAATGCGCCATCACACTGGCTAATTTTTGTAATTTTAGTAGAGATGGGGTTTCACCATATTGGTCAGGGTGACCTCGAACTCCTCACCTCAGGTGATCCACCCGCCCCTGCCTCCCATAGTGCTGGGATTACAGACGTGAGCCACCACGCCCGGCCTCCGTCTTGTTCTTTTTAACTGTGGCTAAATCCAGGAAGAACTAGGCATCCATGTGAAAATTATGTGTAGTAATAGCCTACCCTTACAGGCCATTATTAGTGGTTCCTTCTTTGGGGTCAGACAGAGCTGATCATTCTGGCTGTAACTCTTATAGCTATTTGACCTTGAATAAATTCTTTAATTGTTCTAAAGTTCAGACTCTTTATCTGGAAAGAATTGAGATTAACTCCCTCATGCAGTCATAAAGATTAAACCAAGCAGTGTGTGTAACAGTATTGAACAAAAAATTTGGTGCATATGGTTAATGTTCAATAAATATTTAACTGTTTCCTGTCATCTTTATATTTACTAGGCCTGCCTAGCTTGTTAGTTTACTATTTGGGGCGGATTTGAATGTGGCTCTTCAGATATATTGAAAATGGTATTTCATGAACACTTGGATATTTGGATGCATGGAAATGTCAATGGATAGAATTTTCTGTTCCATGGGGCACCAGATTCTAGTCATTGATTTTTTTACACATTGAGTCTGTGTAACAGCCCTTTTGCAGATAAAGAAACTGAAGGTTAGAGAAATTAGGTAACCTACCCAAGGCTACATACCTTGTAGGTGGTGGAATCTGGATTTTAACCAGGCCTATCTTATTTTAAAGGTAACCGTTGGCTAGGCACAGTGACTCACACCTGTAATCCCAGCACTTTGGGAGGCTGAGGTGGGCAGATCACCTGGGGTCAGTAGTTCGAGACCAGCCTGGCCAACATGGCGGAAGCCCATCTCTACTAAAAATACAAAAATTAGCTGGGCATGGTGGCAGGTGCCTGTAATCCCAGCTACTTGGGAGGGTGAGGCAGGAGAATAGCTTGAACCTAGGAGTCAGAGGTTGCAGTGAGCCAAGATCATGGCACTGCATTCCGGCCTGGATGACAGAGTGAGACTCCGTCTCAAAAAAAAAGAAAAAAGAAAAAAAGGTACCCTCTGCCTTAATAGCATGGGTTAAGTGTTACTCAGATGAAGCACAGAGCATACGGAAAACAGAGAACTTCTCAGATGAAGCACAGAGCATATGGAAAACAGAGAACTTCTCAGGTATATGAAGTTTATAGAATCTCGGCTTTAAAGGAATTTTTGAACTTAAAAACATTTAATTTAAAAACTAATTTAAAATACTAGTTTGCTTGTGGGGCTTGATTTTCCTTTTAATAGTTATTCTCATTGGTTGTGGTGCCCTTTCCTGGGGCATTTTGGTTGGCATGGTTATGGGAAGGGCGCTACTGGCGTTTAGTTGGGGGCAAGCAGAGGTGCCAAATGCCCTGTAATGAGTGAGGCAGTCCAAGAAAATGAAGAATTGACCCTTATACTTGGGAATTTCATATCTTCTTCTGTAGGAGCAATATGAATCTATAATATGTCTTCTAATGAACTGTGTCTGAGAATTTACATACTGAAATACCCGTGATCAAATACTTTCCTTTGGGGCATCATGATGATTTTATAAAATTAAATGTGTAAGTAGGTTACATGATCTATGAATTTCATCTCAATATTATGAAGGGCGTATAATAAAATGGTTTACATATTTATTTAGATGAGGTGTTGAATTTGATAAGGCTGAGAACTGCGTCTCTACAGTAGTCATATAAAACAGTTGCTCAGTATGTGCTCTGTCACTCTTGAAGATGAGGAAGCCATTCCATCTGCAGGCAGCTGTTTGCACCTACCTCTCAGACAGTTCTTCCTTATACTGAGCCGTGGACCTCTCTCCCTCCACATCTAATGTCTAATTCTAGGTTTACCTCTTTGGAGATCTGTCTATCAAGCCTAAATCCTTTATTGGATAAAGATCCTTCAGATGTTTAAAAACAGCTGTCATTTAATCCAAGTCTTCTCTCCTGACCAACTCCTTTGACTAATATTCTTAAAATCTAGTTTTATGCCATTTAACCATCCTGTTTGTTCTAATTTCCCTATAGTGTGAGATACCTAGATAAATGCAGTAATCCTGATGGAGTCTAATCCTCAAAAAGGGTGTGACAGACTATTATAATCTGTTTATTCTGGGTTGATAGCACTAGTGGGTTTTTTGGAGGGGGGTGGGGAGGAAAGTGCACAGTGGAATTACCCTACTGTAATTCCATATATGAACCTTACTGTCATCTAAAACCACAAATCATATTCACTTATGCTAACACTAAACTGTACCGCTCTCATTTCTTAGTACCTCACCAGTAAAACCTGAGATTCATTGGGAGCAAATTTCCACCTCATAATAATTGACTCCTTTCTCCAGACAGCCAAGGGCTTTTGAATCCTAATGCTGCTATCCAGGATGTTATTAAGTACCTACCTCTCCAAATGGCTGATAAGGGAGGCCTCTATGTTTTTGTTCAAGTTAGTGGGAAATATACTCATGAGGACAGAGCATAAGAAAAAATACTGTATTAAGCTATTAACGTTCCCTCTCCAGGTTCAGAATGGATTTCAGCTCTCAGAGCAACTGAGGTTGGTCAGTCAGTCAACACATACCTCTTGGTACAGTGATGCAGTGATTTCCTTTATTCATCTAATCATATAAACATCCACCTACACACCCAACCCACATTTCTCCATCTTATCCATAAGCAGACAAGAGAAATTTATCAAATGCCTCTTAAGTGCAGTTACATGTGTTTTCCTCATTTTCCTAATCCACTAGAATAGTAGCTATGTCAGGGAGGGAAATTAGGTCAGTGTGATTTGACTAAGCCAGCATTCCCTGAATGTCCTCTCTTCTACCAGCCCTTGCACTCCAGCCATACCAGATCACTCAGGATTCCCCGAACACCACACATTCCTGCCAGAGGCTTACACATCCTCATTCTGCCTGATAAGCCTGACCTCTTCTGCATCCACCATCTGGGAAACTCCTGCACCTCCTTCCCAGCCCAGCACTGGCGTCACCTGTGACATTGCCAGGACACTCCTTCGCTTTGAGGCAGTGTAAGTTGCTCAATGCTCTGTGCTCTGTGGTTCCTTGTGACCACTAGTGTCAGAGCACTCACATCTCATTTTATCAGCTGATAAGTTATAGTTGCCTCTTCTTCCTGAGCTTCCTGGCTGATGAATGCTGTCTTCCTCTTTGTGTCTGCAGCAGAATACTTGGTCCATGGTAGATGTTTCCAAAAGCAACCCACTTGTCCTGCCGAATCATTGGCTTTCTGGGATCATTCTAGATCTCAGGGTCCACTGCTCTGTTCTCTATTTTCTTACCAAACTGCCTTAAATGATCATTTCTAAAATTTTCCTGGGAATCTATGTGATGATATGCTTCAGTGTATAGTTTGCACAATTACCCTTTCTAAATTAAAATGCATTTGCCTGTTTTCAGGCTTCTGGCATTTTCTACATCTTCTACAGTTCCTCACCCCACCAGTGACTTTTTAGAAATCTCGTTTGCATGTTATTTTCTAAGAGAGAACTTGTAAAATGATCTATCTAGCCCAGAGATGGGTCTTCATTTAGAGTATGTCGGAGATTTGATGGCATCTCTTGACTCATCTTAGGTAAAAGACCACTGAAACTCACATTTGTTTAATTTTTCTCGGGTCAAATGTGAGCACCCTAGGCAGAGAATAATGGAATAGGAGTTGATAAGTTCTCCATTCATTTTGCCATTCAAAGATGTCAAACCCTTTCCCAAATAGCAGATCCGGAGCCCATCCTTGATCATCACCTTGCTTCATCACCAGAAATAACTTTTTAGTTATTTGTTGCCATTCATTTTTGGGTTTTTTGTTGTTGTTGCTGCATTGTTTTTGTAACAAGCATTTATTTATTTGGGGGGTATTATCTGATTGCTCCCCTTTTAAGTTGTTTTTTTTGTTTTTGTTTTTGTTTTTTGAGACAAAGTCTCGCTCTGACATCCAGGCTGGAGTGCGGTGGCACAGTCATGGCTCACTCCAACCTCCGCCTCTCAGGTTCAAGCAATCCTTGTGCCTCAGCTACCTACGTAGCTGGGACTATAGGCATGTGCCACCACACCTGGCTAGTTTTTGTGTTTTTAGTAGAGATGGAGTTTTGCCATGTTGGCTAGGCTAGTCTCGAACTCCTGACCTCAAGCCATCCACCTGCCTCGGCCTCCCAAAGTGCTGGGACTATAGGCATGAGCCACTGCGCCTGGATACCCTTGTAAGTTCGTGGCACACGTTTATATCTGGTTCTGTGTCCTTCCCAGGTTTCTCTAAAGTTATAGGGAGTGTTCAAATTTCTGACCTTGTTTAACATTGAAATTTGAATATTCTTGCTTTGTTTAGATGACAGTGTGGCTTTGAGAGACGGAACACCTGTTATATTTTGGTACAAATATAACTATTTTCTAGGAGGAAATGCCTGCATAGAAAGGTTCATTTTGGTCTGTTCCTTACGTGACCAAACACAGTGTGACCATTGTGTACTCCTGTCATCATTTCATTTGTATATTAAGAAACATGTTGTTGGGAAAACAGCTGATGAGGGCCTCATGGATATACTGCTGTTTTTCTAGTCCTGACTTGTTATACTTGAATATTCAAGGAACTGCAGTATGTTGGAGGTGAATCCAAAAAGTCATGCTTTGCTGTGTGGGTCCACAGCTGTGTGACCCACAGCTGAGAGACTGAGAGGTACTAATTAATTTCCTTAACTCAACAGCACTGGCTGTGCTGCGGCAGTGATTTAAATCCAGTCTGGTATACACTCCAGTGTCTTTCAATAACCTTTGGAGCCAGAAAGCATTTGGAGATGAGCTAGAAAAAGTAGTCCAGAGTCGACAACATCGAATGCTGCAGCTCAGAATTTGCAAGTTAAGACACATGTACCTAGCCACTGGGACGGGGAGATCATTGAGGACCTCCAGCTGTGTAACCCCCAGCTGTGTGGGTCAGTTTGATGTAGTTAAGGGGTCTCTGCTGGTTCTGTTCTTTTAAATGGTGCCATGTGTACAAACAAGGAACACTTTGCTGATGATTCAAAAAATACTTTGTCTTCACAGCTCTTTTGAAGTAAGGATGTTTATGTGCTATTTTTATTTGAATAATGAACTGAATTTAAGTTTAAATTGACTATCCTGATTTAAGATTGCAAAAAAAAAAAATATTTAGATGGAAGATTCATCTTATGCTTTCTCATGAAATTCTTTTTGGTCTGCAATACACGGTAAATGCAGGAGACTCTTAGAAGTCAGCAATTAGATGAGTCAAGAGTGTATTGATGTGAAGGAAAGTCAACATTAAATGAACAAAGGGCTTTTAAGAAGCCCATTATGACCACTTATAATGGAAAATGTAGTTCCCATTAGAGATTGATTTAAGGAGCCCTGGTTTGTCACTGAAGCATGAAGGCTGCAGTGTGGTGTTTTGTGCAAATCATTTTTATAGCACTCTCTACTGAGCTCCTTCTGGTTAATCTGTTGATGTGTCTAAACCTGTAAGAACTGCATCTATCTTGTTTAAGGAATATAAAAATTTCCAGAAACTTAAACCAAAGATTAGCATATTTTTCATTTATCTCATAGGATATTGAAAAATTTTTTAAACGCCTTACTGGTTGTAATCAGACACAGCAGCACCAGATGTCAACTCTTGGATCATTTAATCTTTTTGTCTTGTGCATATTTTCATAAATATTTTTCTACTTGAACAGAATATCAGTTTCTGGCTCAGCTTAAAGTATAAAAATTTTCCAATTAGATTGCTGTAACTTCATTTTTATTCATGACCAAAAATTTAATAGAGATCATTACTTTTTTGACTTGTAGGAGATGAACTTAAAAATAAACCACCTGACCCAGGGCAGGGCAGAGAGCCTAGGATTCTGATCCTTCCTGGAGTCTGAGGGAGGCTGGCATGAGACACCATCCTCTATCCCTAAGTAATTCTTAATTTGGGAGGAATTTTTGGATTTGTATTGGTCTGCCATGTAATTGACCTTATCCCCAGTTGTGGATTAATTTAACTCCTTGCTTAGCTTTTATATGGATTTTCTGCCTACTTATGTGCCAGTTATTTAGAGAAGTATAGTAAAAGTGAAACATGGTAGTTTTGACTCAAAGGAATTTATGGTTGGGGCGAGGAGATCAAGTGAAATGCTGTTGTCACACCGTATATGATTAAGTGCCTTGCAGTAAGTGATAGGTAATATATGAAGTAAGCTCTTTAGGGGAGAGAAGGGCACACAAGTGGTCAGGAAAGCCTTTGAAGTAGAATTGGGCCTTGTCAGAAGGAGGAGCCTGGCAAGGTTGCCTCATGCCTGAGGAAAGAGTGAGGATAAAGGTGCAGAGTTGGGGAGGAGCCCAGGGCGTTCAAACCACAGCGTGAAACTGAGCTCATGAGAGTTAGACGCTCAAACGCCTTCTTTCCTTTTTCTTGTTTCCTCTTGCACTTGAATTCTTGAATGAGTACTAACTACCCCAATTCATGGTAGCATGACTTCCACTCCCAGTACGTCACTAATGCAGTCCTGTTGGAGGTCCTCAATGACCTCCCTGTCCCAGTGGCTAGGTACGTGTGACTTAACTTGAGAATTCTATGCTGCAGCATTGGATATTGTTGACTCTGGACTACTTTTTCTAGCTCATCCCAAATGCTTTCTGGCTCCAAAGGTTATTGAAAGACACTGGAGTGTATACTAGACTGGATTTAAATCGCTGCCGCAGCACAGCTAGTGCTGTTGAATTAAGGAAATTAATTAGTACCTCTCAGCCTCAGTTTAATGGAAATGAGGACATCTAAATCATAGTGTGGTTGAAGGATAAAAAGATAACATAGGGATAATATGTTGAAATAAATGGCTCTTGGTAGGCAGGCATCAAGATTAGTTCCCTTTCCGTACCTGGTAGCCACTCTTTCCTTGCCCGAGTGTGCCTATCCCCTTTCACTTCTATCCCTTTGCTCTGGCATTCCCACTTTCTGGAATGCCCTATCCCTGTTTTTTACCCATTGAAATCCTAACCACTCTGAAAGGTTTATCACCTCAAGCAGAATTGAACTTTGCATCTTTTGGATTCTTAATATTATTCATTGGACAGCACCAAGATACTACCCTACAGTTTAGTTATCTGCACAGTCATATTTTCCTGACTGGATGAAAAACTCTTTGAGGGTGAAGTCCAAGTCAGGGATATGAAGATAAACTAGTGAGAGCTGAGACTGTGTACTCCCTTGTTTCTGTACAGGGCTGCGTGAATAGTTGTCAGGCTTCCAAGGTGATCTCATCATCATATTGTTTTTTCTCCTTTTCTTCCTAACTACAAGCATATGCTGATTTTTTCTAATTCCTTTCCTCTAGCCTTTACTGCCCTTCTGTGCTTTCGATGTAATCAAACGTCTGGTGAATGTCCCCAGCTCCACCATCCCATAGCCGTCTCAAAGGCACCATGTCCACAACCGATCTCTTACCTCCTTCTGCTCCCCTGTCCTACATGCAGCGTGCCCTCTTCATGTATATTGTACCAGATCTTTGGTGTCATAGCCCACACAGTTCCTGAAGCAGAAACTTGGAGAGCATCCTTCATTCCTTACTTTCCTTGTTATCTACACTGCATGAGTCACCAAATCTCAACTCATCAGCCTCCCAAGTATTTCTTGAGTCCATCCCTCCTCTTTCTATGTCAACTACTGCTGCCTAGGTTTGGGTGCTCCTCCCTCAATTAGTTTGACTGTAATTTCTTTTTAGTGAATCTACTTCACCCTGTCCTTAAGTCCTCTCAAGTCCATCCTCTACCTCTGCTTTCTGATGCTACACTACCTCATGGAAAACCCTCTGGTGGCGTCTTTTCATATACATCGCAGATGAGAAAATTGGTTTTATCTCGTGGACCAGCTCTGATCGATTTGGTAATGGTTCTGCAAATGCTGCCGCTGGGTTCAGCATGAGCAATTGGTGGCATCTGACAAGGTACATTGAAGGGGGTGGGCCGCACATAGCCTAGCTAGGATTAAGTCCAAGCTCCTTAGAGTGGCATACTAGGCTTTCCGTGACCCAGATCCCGCCCATGTCTTCATCCTCAGCTCACTTTACCCTGGAACAGCAGGGAACTATTTTGTCTTCTTGCTTTTGTTCATTCGAAACCTGCTTGCTCGTACCCTTTACCTAGAAAATGCATTTGTGTTTTTTTTTTTTTTCAGACGGAGTTTTGCTCTTGTTGCCCAGGCTGGAGTGTGACGGAGTGGTCTCAGCTCACTGCAAACTCCACCTCCCAGGTTCAAACAATTCTCCTGCCTCAGCCTCCCAAGTGCTGGGATTACAGGCGCCCGCCACCACACCCGGCTAATTTTTGTATTTTTAGTAGAGGCGGGGTTTCACTATGTTGGCCAGGCTGGTCATGAACTCCTGACCTCAGGTGATCCATCCACCTCGGCCTCCCAAAGTGCCGGGATTACAGGCGTGAGCCCCTGCGCCTGGCCAGAAATCCATTCTTAACCTACAACCTTAGTGTGTGCTCAGGGTACCTGGGGTGGGCCTTGCATAGGGTTGTTATTTAATTTTTTTTTTAATTGGCAAATAGAAATTATATATATTATATTTTTTCAATGATATTTTGAAAATATACATTAGAAAATGGCTAAATTGAGCTAATTAAGTAATTTTCCTGAGGCCTCTTTTTCAGCAGTACATATAACATTGTCTTGAAATCTTAAGTGTCTCTCCAGAAAGACAATATATACTGTTAAAGCAAATATCATGGCTTTATCTTTGGCCTCTGGTACTTATCATACTCCCTTTCGTGTAGTATGTATGTAATTTGTTTACTGAATTGAAATGAATTAGTAAATAATTTTGATTGTGAATACACTTTGCTTTATTTATATTTACTAATTTTTTTTTTTTTTTTTTTGAGACAGAGTCTCCCTTTGTCACCCAGGCTGCAGTGCAGTGGTGCCATCTCGGCTCATTGCAACCTCGGCCTCCTCGGTTCAAGCGATTCTCGTGCCTCAGCCTCTCGAGTAGCTGGGATTACAGGTGTGCACCACCATGCCTGGCTAATTTTTGGTATATGTAGTAGAGAAGTGGTTTCACCCTGTTAGGCTGATCTCAAACTACCAATCTCAAGTGTTCTGCCTGCCTCGGCCTCCCAAAGTGCTGGGATTACAGGTGTGAGCCACGGCTCAGCCTGCTTTTTTTAAATTTAAATTTGATTGGTGAACTTCAGGGTGAAAGGACAAGTTTTAGGAATGTTAGTGCTCTGCAGAAATTAGGCCGGTGAATCAGGCAATAAGTAGACATTGGAAATTTTTGAGCAGGGGAGTGGCATGATGAAAGTGGTATTTAAGGAAGCTTGATCTGGAGACAACCTTTTATATTATAGGCTTAAGCCACTGCTGGCAAGCGTGGGTGAGGGTCGCAGGAGGGGGAGAAGAGGGAGAGGCAAGGGTTTAAAGCCATGCTGAGGAACAGCTTCCTGTGTCTTTGTACTTTCATTTCCACATTTGCTCAAGTGGGATGTACTTGCTGGCATGTTTCCGAAAATAAAATAGAGTGCTGAAGTTATTTTTATTTTTTAAAAAAGAACATTCTTGTAAAACACCTAAGTGAGCCATTTTACATAATTATCTGAGACATATTCATTATTAATTGCTTTTGAAGAGAGATTATGAGTTCAATTTTTTAAAAAATAATTAGCATCTACATAGTTAGGCTACAATCTTCCAAAGTCAGTGAAGGTTTTTATTTTGGCATGTTTTAAAATATATGAGGGAAATACTTCAGTTTGGTTTTCCATTAGGTTTTGCTTGATAGTTTAACATCTCCATTCTGATTGTAGTTTCTCCCATGTAACATTTGCATTTCATATTTGACTCATGTGACAGTCTTTCCTGGTTAAAGTTTGTTTTTCATTTGTTTTGGTCCATGTAGTTCTACTCTATTTTATTCTTCACATTGGCCAGTGTACACTTTTAAGTTTACAGTTGCTTTGTTATTTTTTCTTACAGGGTTATGACTCACTATTAAAAAGAGGGACTTTTTCCAAATACTTTGCACTTTTGATTGTGTATTATGGATACCAAGGAAGAGAAGAAGGAACGGAAACAAAGTTATTTTGCTCGGTAAGCATTCATTTTACAAAATTGTTATCAGTACTTTAAAGAAATATTTGAGCGGACTTTGTCCTCAAGTATTACTTTGCATTTTGTGTTTTGTGCTTGTTCATAAATAGAGCAGGTAACCAGGAGAAGTAAACTATACTTTGCTTCATCCATTTTATTCATATTAGAGGATTGTAACATTTGGTTCTTCTCTTTCTAGCTTTGACACTTCTCTCAGGCCAGTGTTGCTCAGCAAGTCCAGCTGTCATGCTCTGACCTGCAAATTGCTCCGAATCCCATGTTTAGCAACCTACCTTGAATTTTAAATCCTAAGTGCTTCGCTCCTACTGTTCTGTAGCTTAATTGGTTGGACTATAACTGAAAATCTCTGACACATTTAAAGCTTATCACCTTGTGGGGAGTCTCTTACTAAAAAATACTTTTGTAGGTAGGTGAAATGGGTGAAATTATGTTTTTGAATCAGAGTCATTTTTAAGGCTGGAACTTGTCCAACATAAATAAATTTGTTGATATCTGAATAGAAGTAATTTAGTATATGATTTGTTACCATTTACAGATTTAAATGTCTATGTGGCAGTCACTCACTAATCATAAAAAAATGAATTATATGCTAAACATTTGTAAAACATTTTGATAAGCCAGAATGTTTTCAGACTCAGAGAACATAGGCTTAAAAACATGTTTCTCCTAAATTGAAATGCGTGTTAAGAACTGAATTTAGCCTCATTCCATCCCCAGTCCCCAGGCTGTGCTCATTAGAGATGCATTTACTGTTTTCTAAACTGAGCCTTGGAGCCAAAACCAAAGTTTACTGTTGATGTTTTTATCCAGTAATTAAGCTAGATTTTAGGTTGATAATGGGAAAAGGAAGGAAACAATTTAAGGACCTACTATGTACTGAGTGCTTTAGTTACGATTTTAATTGTCTTCAAAATAAATCTATGCCATCAGTTAATTTATCTCCATTTTACCAGTGATGCAACTAAGACTCAGAATATATTTTGTCCATTTCATGCAGCATAAGAGTCAGTATTAAACATAAGGCCATTTCCAAAGGGCATGCTCCAGTTGGGAATAGTAAATCATGAATAAGGTTTTGGGGAAGCACAAGTTAAACTACCAATTGTAGTAAAATATTTTCTGCTGTTAGGACTACAGAGAGTAACCAGATTAGGGAGGGAAGACATCAGGCATCTAATGGATGAAACACCAGAAAGATAGGATATTTAGAATAAATAAGATCTCCAAAGTTTTTATTTTGAGATAATTTTAGATTCACATGTAGTTAGTTGTAAGGAATAATAGATACCCCTATTCTTTATCCATAGTACAATATCACAACTAGGAAATTCACATTGATACAATCCACTAGCCTTATTCAGAGCGTTCATTGTATGTATGTTTGTATGTATTTAGTTCCATGCAGTTATATCACATATAGAGATTTCTGTGGTCACCATCAGTCAAGATACACAACAGTTGCATTAAAAGGATCCCACATGCTACCTTTTTGTATCCCTACTCACTCCTTCCATCTACCTGCCTCCTCTGACAACCACTATAATTTGTCATTTCAAGAATACTACGCAAATGGAGTCATGTAGTATGTAACCTTTGGCATTTAGCTTTTTCTTCCCTTCAGCGTTACTCCCTTGACATCCCTCAAAGCTGTTGCATGTATCGATAGTTTGTTCCTTTTTATTGCATAGTAGCATTCCATAGTATTTTTTTAGTCATTTTTAGTCATTTACCCAATGAAGGGCATTTAGGTTGTTTCCAGTTTGGGCTATTTATGAACAAAGATGCTAGATGCTACAATCATTTATGTACAAGTTTTTGTATGAGCATGAGTTTTCATTTCCCTGAGATAACTGTCCAAGAGTGCAATTGCTGGGTCAAAGGATAAGTGTATTTTTAGTTTTATAAGAAACTGCGGTACTCTTTTCTGGAATGGTTGTAACATTTGACATTCCCATCAGCAAAGTCTGAGTAAACCAGTTTCTCTGCATTGTCATTTGGTGGTGTCAATATTTTTTATTTTAGCTATTCTGATAAGTATGTAGTGATGTCTCATTATGGTTTTAATTTGTATTTCCTTAATGGTTAGTGAGGTTTAACAGTTTCATGTGCTTATTATTAGCCATATGTATGTGTTCTTTAGTGGAATCTCCTTTCCTATCTTTTGCCCATTTTCTAATTGAATTGTTTAGGTTTTTACTGCTGAATTGTACACATTCGAGTCTTTTGTTGGATATGTGGTTTGCAAATAATTTTCTCCCAGTCTGTAGTTTGTCTTTTCATCCAGTTAACAGAGTTGCAGAGCAGAAGTTTTTAATTTTGATGTGATTCGATTTATCAGTTTCTCCTTCTATGAATTGTGCTTTTGGTCTGAATTCTAAGATCTCTTTGCCTAGCTCTGTGTTCTGAAGATTCTCTGCTGTTTTTCTTTTCTGAAAATTTTATAGCATTATGTTTTGTATTGAAGTCTGTGATCCATTTTGAATTTATTTTTGGATAACACAGGAGTTTAGGTCAAGATGGTGGTCATCCTTTTCCTCCCCCTTCTCCCCCTCTCCCTTCCTTGCCTCCTTCCTTTCTTCCTGCTTCTCTTCCTGCTCTTCTTCCTCTCTTCTTCCTCCTCCCCTTTCCTGCTTCTCCCCCTTCCTTCTTTCTCCCACCTCCTCCTTCCTCCTCCTTACTTTCTTCTTCTTCTTTCTTTTCTTTCTTCTTCACATGCCCTACATAGTGGTTTTAAGAGCTATAGTGCCTTCTCAGTCTGAATCCAAAGTGATTGCAGTAGTAAAAGTCACTGCTGGTTCATGAACAACCTGCTCCATGTTAACCTCTTCTTCTTCCTAAAATGTTTAGTCAAGGGAGCCCCTGAAGCTGCGAATACAAACCAAAACTGTTCTGGACGAGCAGCACAGTTTTTTCAACTCAGAAATGTAAAATTGTCTTGCTTATCATGACCTCTTCTGAAAAGTATTCTAACAATGAAACAAAAAACATATCGTAAAATGCTGAAATATGATCTTGGGAGTATGCATAGGAACAGTGGCACAAGGACGAAGTCAGTGGTGCTCTTAAGACAGTAAGAACATGATTTGTAACTAGGAAATGAGAGATAGAGGGAGAGAGGAGAACGGAGAGAAGAGGCGGTGGGAGCAGGGAGAGACAGACAGACACAGAGAGAGAAACACTGACTGACAAACCTGTAGTTTAGCTCTTACAATGCAGTGGAAGCCAGAAATGGTCAAGCTATGAAAAGCAAAAGGCAAACCAAAGAGAGAAGAACCCCCTTCAGCCTGTCATCAGAAAAGAGCTATCCAAAGTTATATATCTTTTCAAATGCCTTCTGACTTAACTGTGGAATTATCAAGTGGAATTAGCAACAGAACTTACTTGAAAGCCAGTTTCTGACAATATAGAGCAGAGTTCTCTGGAGCAGCATACTTAAGAGCAGTCCAAGTAAGATCTCTGGAGAGAAGGATAAAATGTCAGGCCAAGGGTGAGGCCAAATTGATGCAATCTCAGTTTTCTCTAAACTAAATTATACTGCCTTACATAAATCTCAACTAGTGTTCCGAGGAAGTCAAAAGGAAAATTTACCCTGATGTTGTGCCTGCTGCCACAATTATATATCTGAAACCCTAAAAACTGCTTTTTAGACTATTTCCCCCTTCCACATTGCCTTTTTCCTCCTGAGTAGTTAAATAGCCAATGTTTTCTTTGTGTGCTATCTTATCATGTGGTTTCATAATCCTTGCATGACTGTGTTTGGTAAATAGGCCTTTGTGAAACCTGTTTTGTTGATGTTTTGCTCTTTAAGTTTAACATCAAAGTAAAGTTTAAAATACCCTATTTTAATAATTTTTGATCGAAATTAGTGATTTGAGGGTCATCCAGTCTTTCCTTTCTTATAATTTATCTTGAAATATGCCTGTGTAACTCTTAAGTAGAGGAGTGGATTTAATACTACTATTAGATAGAGTAATTCTGGATAAGACCTGATTAAGTTTTTGGATTTTCTGACCCTGGTCCACCTGGTTTTCAGGTGCTTCAGGACAGTTTTATACCAGTTGTTAAATCTAGATTGAATGATTTGTGAAACTTTTTCACAAATGGTTTTGCAAATAATTTATATATGCAAAATTAATATATGTCTATATTAATTTCTTGATCCCTGACAGATCTGGAAAACCAAATGAAAAACTGAATTACTAAAGCAAATTATGCGTTCTGTGTACTATTTGTACTGTCTGCAATTTATACTATCCTCTGGGGTGACTGTCATGTGTCATTTGTTACACACTTGCTGACTCTTCCTTCCCCTTGTAGTTAGAATGCAACATTTTCTTTAGTATTGCCACACAGGGCTCTCTTCTTACACACTTGCTTGACATTATTTGGCTTTTGTGATTTCCGAGTAGGTCCTTGTATGCTCTTGGTTGAAGGTTCTTTGAAAGCATTTTTTCAGGATCAAGGGTTAATTGAAGATATCCGAAATACATCTGTAGTTGAACCAAATGGTGTTTTGTGGGAGGTTTACTTTTCCCCTCTGAAAAGGTGTGAGAGAGCCTAGGAGTAAACAGTGAGTAATATAAACACAGACACAGACCAGGTGTTCATGTAGGTCACCTCCCCTATTCCCTGGTTGTCATGAAAAGCAGAACTACTGCTCCTACCTCCGCTTTCCTCTTAACCCAGCCTTTCAGAGCAGCAGTAGGAGCCAGCACCACCTCTGTCATCATTCTCAGTGACAATGGATGCAAAGTGTAGAACATTTCTTAGGTCCCATCTCCAGCCTCTGCCCTGGCAATTCTTCACCCTTTAACCTCTGACCCAGAAGCAGAACACCTAGTGTTTGCAATTCACTGCAGTGTATAATCTCTGGCAGGTTTTCTAAGCTTCCTTTACCTTACATTTCTTCAGTTAAATGTGGCTAAAAATAACCAACTAACAAGATGGTTTTGAAGAAGGAGACATCCCAACCAGCCAGA